TAAGTGCAACACATCTGATGTATTACGATTCTTGCAGCTGTAGCTGGTAAAAATTAACAAGATTCTCTCCGTCTTGTTCTCAGTTACAGTTAATATCAGTTTCTTGAATCCAACATCGTCGAGCGAATGCGAGTGCCTACAATACTGGAAACTGAGCGTTCATCTAACAAAAGCTTATTTTCATCTTGATTTCTGGAAAAGAATTAGATTGTGAGCTGACGGATAACACATGTGGCATTGTCCGCCACTGCGTCCCATCAGCAGTTGACTTACAGACATTGACAGTCCGTCGGAAAGAGAAAAGGGAAGAGCGAGTGAGGCCAATAGTAGCGAATCCAGTTCCATGGAATAGTGACTAGAATTTTTTCACGCGCATAGACGGACTGTGTTACTTTGTCAGTGACCTTCAAGTGCGGCACATGTCGCGCAAGTCGGCCACACTATAAACTAATTGGCGTGCAGGAATTTGGTGTTCTGCCCACAGCGTGGGCGCGCAGTCGACGTCGTTTGTAGTGACCGAACTGCCGGTATGTCTTGCTTGGGTTCGACTGCATAAAAACGAATTAAACGATAGCAGAAACAGGTTTCTGCTACCGTTTCTGCTAATGTCTCTGATGATGAATCCGCGACGGATGCCGAAACGTCAGGCGAATAAAAGTATTGCCCCAGCGATCTTCCCATTTAAACGTCTCTCTGTCCTTTTGTTGTCTGCCAGCCACATATTCAAACAAACCCGCTAGACATGATATTTCCAACGCACTTCTGCAGGATACGTGGTAGGTTAATTTGTATAGATTTCGCCTGATTAAATTTCCATCAACCGTACTGGCCCAAGAAAAGCGAAGTCAATCGTTTTTCTGTATCAAGACTTATTTCTTCGTTTGTAATGTAACTGCGGGATTTTGGGGTAAACGGTCAGCCTGGGTCTTCAATTTTGAATGATACATCTTTTCTAAAACCACAGTAGGCCATGCCACCCTCAGCTAAGGTTGGGTTTTTTTCACTTTGTCCTTTGTTCCATCTATCGCTGTTGTTAAAAACTCCTCAAAAGCGGTCTTTTGCTGGTTGTTGGAGTACTCCGTTTTAGTTATTTGTCGCCTTTTTCCCGTGCTGCTGTATTTTGGCCTACTTTTGCTTACACTACCTTGCCCTCTTTTATAGAGCAGTAGTAGCTCCCAACCAATGACAACGAAGACAGCTGCACGCCCCAAGCGCCCCGCCATGCAAATCTACGTTCCGCCCAAGTTACGCACAGCACTAGAACGTAAGAGTTCGTGTGAACGCTTATCTGAGCCAGTCACTGCTAACGGAGACCTCTATGCCGAAACCAAAGATGTACAAGAGACCAAGTCCCCCCAGGCGGACCAACACAAGCTCCCCGCAATGCAGCCTCAGTTACGTACAGCACAGGAACGTCAGAATTCGTGTGAACGTTTATCTGAGGCAGCCCCAGTGAATAGAGACCTCCACGCCGAGACCGGGGATGTACAGGAGACCAAGTCCCCCCAGGCAGACCAACACAAGCGTCCTGCCATGCAAGTCTTCCTCCCGCCTCAGTTACGTATAGCACAAGAACATCAGAGTTCGTGTGAAAACTTATCTGAGCCAGCCTTGGTGAACGGAGATCTCCTTGCCGAGACCAAGGATCTGCAAGAACCCAAGTTACCACAAACAGATGAACACAAGCGCCTCGCCATACATGTCCCCCTCCAGTCTCAGTTACCTACAGAAAAGGAACGTCAGAATTCGAGTGAACGCTTATCTGAGCCAGCTCCTGTGAACGGAGACCTCCACGCCGAGTCCAAGGATGTACAGGAGACCAAGTCGCCCCAGGCAGAGCAACACAAGCGCCCCGCCGTAAGAACCTATGTTCCACCCCAGTTACGTACAGCACAGGCACGACCAAGTTCCAGTGATGACTCATCCACCTCGGCTCAACCTGCTCAAACAGAGCCATCATTCAAGTCCCTAAAGATCAAACAAAAATCGAAAGAAGCAGTAGCAGTGGCCGAAGCGGACAAATTGGCGCAAAAGTTGGGAACAGTTTCGGTCTCAAAGGCAACCTCTTCGGAGTCCGCACCTGCGCCTCTTATAAGTGGCTTTGAAGACAACGGCCTGCTAGTTATGGAGTCGTGGGAGAAACCTGCAGTGGTGAAGGTGCCTCTCGGTGTTGCCTCAAGTAAAGTTCTGCTCCCGGAACCCACTCTCAACTACGGTGAACTGCAGCACATTATTGAACTCTACGGCTTTCCCCCAACCCTTGAATCTTCGCATCTTCAGACAGAATTGCGTGGCTTTGAGGACAGCGGTTTCGTTCTCAAGTGGGTCGACGATTCCCATTGTCTGGCTGTGTTCTCATCCCCTACCGAAGCGACAACCGCACTGACACAAATCTCAGGTATACTCATTAAGGTGGGTACTCCGCTAAGATGAGACAACAGTATATTTGATGGCATTGCTGATTTCTTGATTCTTGTTGTTGCAATTCTAAACCATTATTTATGTTGTAAAGGATTAATTAAGCTGAGTCGCAGCATAATTACGGTATATTTTGAGCTTGATTTTTGAATGCTAAAATCACCCTCTCTTAAAAAGATTACTTGATTGGCACAGATTTTTTCCATTGATTTTCCTGCACACTAGAACACCCCTTCATAAGCAGTAGATTGCATCTTCACATTTTCATTTTAGAAGGAATTTTCCGTTCTAGAAAGGCTTCGTGGTTTTAGCCCTTAAAATCCCCTTCAATTGGCATCGCATATGAAATTTTTTAATGATGCTTTGAGGTATACATGGTGGATACCTATTGCCTAACCCTTACCAGCATAGAGAAATCCGTGACTTTCTTTGAATGCATTTTGTACAACCTGTCATTTTGGAAACTCCAAACGCAAGCTCGACCACTTGTGAAATCTAAAATTTATCTGGAATTGCCAGACTCTTTAAAAGCCCACTAGTACGCCTTTTTAGGTTTAAAATTTGTAAGTACGAATGAATGAGAAACTTCGTCTTCCAGGAGTTTGCGTGGGTAGAGGCGAAAGCTTGTTGAGCATCGGAACAATTGTTTTATCATCCTGAGCTCTCAAACTCTTACAGGAGTTTATCGTCAAAAGTAAGAACAGGAACAAAAAGAGGGCAATTATAAGGAATATACACCAATCAACTGTCAGTAATGCTCGTCCGGGCGTGGTTTTGCACGTTGGCGTCAAACCGATACGTCGAGTGATTGAGTTCCCATCCGTGGACCAGGCTTTAGTTGATTCTCGGCTAGCCTTCTTTTGGGCGTGGGTGACTTTCTTGATGGCTGCGAAGTTGAACTCATAGCTCATTTCATATGTGTGAGCAGAAACTTGCGATAAAGCTGGTTGAATCATTGTTCACCAAAGTGCCACTAGATGAAACTATTGGAATCATCTGCACCTATTCTTCCGAAACTCGCCTATCCCCTGAAATATTACGT